GACGTTTTCGATGGCCACTGATTGTACTTGCACGCCTGGGTTCTCTAACTACAAAAATCTTAGAGTTAATTTCGAACAATGTGTATGTACGTACTGTCGATGATGCCCTATGGCCTTTAGATATTGGTGTATAGGCACATTATGAGAATTGTCAACTTATGCCTCAGGGTGAAGGGCGCAGTATGGCAGTGCTCCTCAAATTTTTGTGATTTATAGCTCTGAGTGGCATTGCAACTGTTATGGAGAGGAGTGTCGCTTACTACCAGGCCCACGACTTATTCGTCCCGTCACATGGTATCATAAAAAAATGTCATTTTTTTCCATAGATCATATATTTTAATGTATGTACACCTTTATTTACATCACTAACCATGTAGTCATTGAAACTGGGACGTAACGAATTATTTCTTCACGAAAAGATTGAAGTCGAAAAACCTAAGTCCCCTGGTATGTCGTAACTCCCTAATGGAATAGAAAATCCTGTTTAAAAGCTGAATAGCCAAGCACGAATGAGAAGACCGAAGACACTATACCAACTAAGCCACGGAACGAACCAGCGGACCTCACGAATTTTTCTATGTGCTTGTCGTGTCTTTGTATTTGGTTTTTCAACGACTGCCGCGTCTGCCACGGTATGCTAGAAGACGTCGGTTCGAATCCGGCCGGATCGAAGGAATTTTTTCTGATTGTTCGATCTTTGTATTAATAATTATAACAAACTAGTGGAGTAATTTCACAAAAATAATTGAATATCAATTCCATAAAAATTTAAAATTACTAAAGTGAATTACTGAGACTGAAAAATTAATGTACGGACAACGGCACATCAGACTACACATTTTTGTTCGAAAATCGCCTCCAGTGCAATGGAACAAGATACGTCAATGTGCAGCTTGATATGCTGGCGTGTGCAGATATTGCATGTTTTCTGCGTAGCTGACTGATAAAAAATAGACGATTTTATTGTGATATATTTCAATATATATACGTCTCATGACTAATTTATCAGTGTCCTGACCACTTATTTTTTTAAATCGTATATTTTTGTTCTTTTACTGTTCTTATTAACAATACTTTACGAACATCTTTACAAACATGCATGGCTAATTTACGAATCAAAATAGAGGAAAAAATGGTGCGCTAGAATTTTGTCAAAATACTTCCATCGTGATTAGAACTACCTTAAGATATGTCCCCCTAATCATCTCCTTGGTTCTGAGTTAATCAGTAAATACATGAGTTAAAGAAATAACCTTTAACCTGTGAGCCGTAATATTAATTTTGGTATGACTTGTTACGTGATTCGTGAACGTTTTAAGAAGCTTTTTAACAATTATTGCTAGAAGACGAAGGTTCGAATCCGGCTTGATCGAAGGATTTTTTTCTGAGTGTTCGATCTTTGTGTTAACAATTGTAACAAACGAGTGGAGTAATTGCAAAAAATAATTGAATATCAATTCAATAAAAATTCTACACTAAAAATACAACAAAAATTTTAACAATTTGATATTTAATTACATTTCATTAATACAAAATTTCAACCAAATAGCTGGAATTCCTTTACGTTACTTTTTTGTTCTCTGCCTTTATAACGTTGCAAGGCATCGCTGTGCCTACCCTACTCTGTATATGGCAAGTACCTACGTATGAAAATGGGTAAAAACGAGGTTGCGTTATACTGCAGATAAGTCTATCTAGGCCATTATTATTATACACATAATTCACACTTTCCGACTCACTGATACAAATAGACCTCTTACTTCCCGACATGGTGGAAAAAAGAAATTTATACCGTTGCACGCGGATAGGTTCCAAAGCAAAGGAAAAAATACGAGGTGACCTGAATGTGGAAAATATAAAAGAGTGATCGACGGCCTGCAAAAGCTATAACATATGGAGGAAACGTTTGTGCACTTTTATGAGGTACACCCCGGGCAAAAAATGACCGAAATATAAGTAATACTTAATAAATTGGCTAAAATCCGGTATCGAACCCAGAATATCCTCACCAAGCGTCCATGGCACTAACCGCTGTGCCAGAGAAGAGCATAAGCACACCCCGTAATCTAAGCCCAATCACGCGCCGCAGGCCGAGCCCGACTCCACCGTAGGTGGGGTACAGGGCCCGTACTGCACACAGTCACCGTTATGGTTTACTGGGAGTTTAAGGCTTAACACATCTTCAAAAATTTTAAACTTCAAAGCCATACCTAGAGACATTGTAATCGTGCATAATTGTCAATAGTATATTTATTTTTTATCAATTACGTTTGATTGGTTGTGGTGTAGAGATGACTTTACCTCAGAGCGAGAATAAGGGCTAACGTAGGGTGATTGTTTGTGTTGCTGGAAGATATCGTCGATGAATGCATGCCAGCGGAAGAAGAACGGATCACGCAAAGTCGTTGCTTCGTCTGCCATCACGCCGAAGTTTTCCTGTACAATGTGGTATTCATGAGAATTGAGACATAAATATTAGTATGCCGATTATCACCTAATCGAATTTAAAGAATTTGCACTTTCTACCTGGATTTTTTGTACCTTACCAGCACCGATATTATCTTTTGCAAGGCTAGCGTATTCTTATCAGTGGGACAAAGGATTTTAATTGTAAAAACGTCTTCGGTCACGTTCTAGCATTGAATGTTACTAAGAAGGATTAGTCATGAAACTAGATGCTAAGGTTACAACCTCATTTCTTTTCACTTACCAAGTAACGATGGACAGGGTCATGCATGTAACCTGTGAGCACATGGCCGTTGTTGTGCAGACTGCCATACAACTGCCGGTTGGGTGACAAAATGCTGGCTTCTACCATATTGCCCAATATGTCGATGTTTAGATCTTGAAAAGTACCGTCCTCCTAAAATATTTGTTAAGTATTACTTTTTTAGACGAATTACTGCTCTAACGTAATACAAACAGGATGCCAATTCTTGATATCAGAAGGATGAATGACTATCATAGATGAAATAAAATACTACGTGCAGCCTCCAAGGTAATTTAAACATTCTTACCAATCTCACTTTTCCAGTGGATATAGCTACAGAAATGTTGGTCCTCCATTTTTCCATGTCTGAGATACCAACTGTGAGGTTGTCGACAGGACGGTTCACATCTTTCCAGCGCATACCCGACTGCCGCGGGGGGTAAACGCGTGCTGACGTCAGACTGTCCAGCTTAGGGAAGTAGGCTTCTGGAATTGGTTCCCTCCAGTTGCTAAACATGACTACTCGCTTCAGTGAGTTGCAGAGACGTTCACCGTTGTAACTGTTGAATAAGATTGATTTTTAAAACAATAAAACGTATTTAACGGGTAATCTGTTTTGGTAAAGGTTTTATTCTGCTTCTATTATCTATTTATTATTCTGGCCCATCGAACCGCATGATTTTTCGTATCGTACGTACCGTGCAATCATCTGTTGGTGGAAGTAAAAGAAGAGTTCACCACGTCGGTCTTTAGCCACAATGGCTCTGTTGGAAGAAGTAAAAGGATACACGAGATGCCAGTGCCAGTGATGCAAGTTGGCGCCAATATCTTCACGCCAGTACGCCAGACGATGTTCTTCTTCTAAATCCGTGGCTGTGAAGTCTCTTGGGATAATAATTGCCCTACGCTGTAACATAAAAAATAATATATTATTTGGTATAATAAATTTGTACGGACGGCAGCATATCAAGCTATACGTTGAACGATCTTGTTCCGTTGCTCTGGAGGCGATATTCGAACAAAAGTGTATAGCTTGATGTGCTGTTGTCTGTATTAACATACTTCTTCTTCTTGTTTTAAATGTTATGGCCCCGTCGAAGTAATCGATGATTTCGCCTGTATGCAATGCGTACAAAGGAACGCAAACACAATGACATTGACTGCCAAATGATAGCTGTAAATTCATTTCATTTCACGTACATATAATGTACTCTTTGCATTTCACAACTAAAGGACATGTTATGTTGACATATATAAATCAGACGTTGGAAACATAAACATGTTATTGTCTTTGTTTAACTATTGCGTGCCGCCTTAAGCCAAAAGAGATAGCATTACATTGGTCTGTGTCAAACACGGGAATCAAAAATACGTAACGTCATTTTAAATGTGTCCCTTTCGCAGTACATGAGGTACATGATATGGTTTTCAAAGGGAAGTACATCAAATGTCAAAACAAATCTTTTTCCAAGTGTTTTATTGAATTATTTGCATGTATTGTAATTAAATGGACAAGTGAGAGCAATTAATAATTAATAAAACTTCGTCGCTGCAGCATTACGAGATGTGGCATTAGAAAAAGCGAAAATCCACCGAATGTAACTTTGTACAGCCACGTGTTATTTTTCTGTCTATAAATTACACAGAAGCCCAAATATCCCATGAAATTAGACATATTTAAGTAGTTTATTTATAAATCTTGCCAAATTTTGCTTTGGTTTCTTCAGATTGCCTATTTGTTTGTATATTTTGATGATCGTTGTTAACGATTATTTTGAGATAGTGTTGTTCTTGGCAGCTTACATATTATCGATATTTTGTTACTAATATAATTCACTACGAGGTTTTCATTATTTTATTATTATTATTTTTACTATTTCAAGTTTACCTACAAATCAAAAGAGAAAACGAATGGTTGGAAATCATGGGAGTGCCGAATATACACATTGAATCAAAGACCATCCTCATTTATTCGTTTCATTTTGAAGAGTCAAATTTTAACATAACTTTGAAAGTAATTTAAAAAAATAAAATGTTTTATTCGTTTATAATTCGTTTCCATTTAGGCTTGTTAGGGCCTGTGTTAGGAAACATCGCTCTTCTATAATATTAAAAAATAGTAATCTTGCTCTTATATAATTTTAAGATGATGAAACAGACTACGTTAATATCTACTATAACTGGTGTTACAACTAATACTAATTTCACTAATTACAGTAACTTTTAACTTTTCAGACTAAAAATATATTAACCTCATTGTTGGTGTGTGTGAGTGCAAGTATGTGTACATGTATCACGATCTATGTGTGCTCCGAGCCTTATTACAAAAATGTAAATTTGAAAAGATGTTGAAAGATCATTATGTCACAAATTTTTGTTGATTAGTTACTAAATATGTTTAAAAACAACGAGTGTCAGTTTGTAACTTTTTGCTCAATTGAGACTCGTTTCGGTCCTGCAGTCAAACTGTATATAGTGTTTTGTACGAGTATGTTTAGTTAAGTATATTGTGCCCCTCGTATAATTCTAAAAATAAATAATAAAAAACAACTGTGTTATGTTTGGACTCTGATAAAAAATGCGATGATTGTTGTGAAGGAAAGGGAAAACTTGTTTCATAGTGTAATAAATGAAAAATGTGATAGACTGAAAGCAGTTAATTTACTGAAGAAAATGAAAACTAACCTCGCACTGCTGGTCCAGGTCTTTGTTATGTCTGTAATAGTTGATGTAATCGAATGGTTTCATAAATAATTAAATCAAGATGCTGGGAACCCAATCCATGAAACATGTGAATCATCACATTTTTTGTAACATTAAACAAAAATATACATTACCTCGTTGCGTTTCAAGACTCGTGAGCTTTCGCGAGCCTGCTGGAACACCTGTGATTCCATGAATTTGAATGGAAACGTCTCTACGAGATTGGGAATCGGCACATTGCGCGTGTCTCGTCTGGAGATAAAAAATAATTCATTATTTATAAAAATCTGTATGTAATAGGCAATGTGCGCGCATTAAGCGGCCGCACGCGATTAGCGACAAATGGCTGGTAAAACACATTAATAGCATTATTGAGTTTTGTGAATGATCTTTTTGTAAATTGGTCTTGATAATATGCAAACATTCTTAATGCAATTTTAATTTCATGTAGTTAAACATGAAATTGAATGAAACTTAAGTAGTTAACATATTGCATTAGATTATTGGAATAGGTGTATGCACTGATAGCAGTTTAATAAATGATTAATGTAGAAAAATGTTTAATTATTTTGTGCTTCCGGGGTACTCTATGGTTACATACATAAATATAAAATAATAATAGCGAATAGCTGAAAAAGAAGTTGTCTGTCTGAATGTGTTGTTTTAAAAAAAAATTGCGACGTTTAAAACCGCACTAGTATGCGCTGTATTATTCGGCCCACCTTACCATTTAAGAAGTGTGATTCACACTGAACAGATTGCAATTAGCATTGTGTTATTAAAGTAACTTTATCTCGAAACGGGGGTAAGGGCTAGGCTAAATTACTTCTTCAGTTTTTATACTTAATTTGAATAAAGGAATATTATTATACCTATGCAACAAAGCTGTAGAGAAACAATAGTTGAAAAGCTGTGGGTTTAGATGCACCCTGCAGAAGGCACAGGTGGAAAGGAAGTCTGCCAGCTGATTCTCAGGCACACCTGTAAGAAATATTATCCTTGTTATGGTAGTACTCCACAATATCAATGTAGAACCCTAAACAGTTCTCCGACAATTGCAATAAAACTTAAGATTTTGATTTTATTGAATGTTATGATGATGTTTTGCTACCATGATATTCGTTTATTTTTTGTGAAATTACTATAATTATAAATACAAAGATTTAACACAAATAAATACTCCGACAGGACTCGAACTTGCGTCGGTACGCCAAATTAGGGCCACCACTCTACCAACAGAGCTACAGGAGTCAATACAAAATATTACGTAATAACAAACCTATAAATTCGCTCTCATTCGTAAGGTCTGCTGTGCTGAATCGATCTTTTTAATTTTACTTTTTAATGTCGTGTCCGATAGCAACTTTGCTACGGTAAAGAAACATAGTACCAACAGAGCAATACAGTATTTTTTTTTATTGGGACAGTATCGGGAAATCCGAAACCATAGAAGATACAAGGAAACCAAACCATTAAGCCTTTTATCTACACACATATCATAAGCCCTCTACGTCGTGTTCAAAAACTGCAAATTACGACCAGCTTATAGATAAACTGTATCGTTAGAACAAATTTCTTATCTGTGAAAATGTTATTATTGGTTCATTCGATGTTATCATTACATTCAAATTTCGAACATCTCTGAAAAACAAAACAATTAGATTCGACCTCAATTCAAATGTCAGTCGAGATGAAGTTTTATTCAAAATGAAATGTCAATAGCAGATAATTTTGACAAATTTCACACGATACTTGTTATCGAACGACATGATAGTCGGGGCCGACTCTAGTTTGTCTATGAATTAAGGTTCTGTGACATGGTTAGAGGATGGAAAGTGCGTTACAAAAGCTTTTATTTGCCGCCATTTCGCCAGTCGTAACATGCGGTTCCTGAACACATCACAGAGAACTTGTAATATGTGTGTAGATAAAGCAGTGTAAAACACTCGTGTGGTGTTTTTATGACACTCTGTCTGTCGGCTTGTTTCATAAACCCACACTCTTAGAATAATAACGCATAACAAGTGAGGCAAAAATCAAATTCATGTAAGCTAGTTTTAGTAGTAGGTTAATTTTCGGTTTTAGTGAATGTTTATATAAAAATACAAGTTGAAACGCGTTACTTCCCTGTGGAATGTGATGTTAGTAACTATATTATGTTTGTCTGACGTATTTTTACACTCATTTACCGCACATTTCGTCATTTTTAGCTAAAATTCTTGATCTGTTCGTGCAAGTTGACCTTGAGCACCGAAGGCCCGCCCGCTCGTGTAGGCCCATTGGGCGCGCTTCAATTTGCCTCACTTAGCGTGTGCGGACTAGGTTTCCATGCGTTATTATTCTAAGCCCACACTCGTATTTTAATGCCTTTCATTAAGTAACAGTCACATAAACTACCATTTTTGTGAAAACAATTTTGGTATAGTCAGTTCTTTGGTCAAGTGTGAGTTGTCCATAAAAATGAAAAAAAATTAACAAAATTTTTTTACTGCTAATCGACTCAGTTTCATGAAGGGATCGTTTAATTTTCATTTTGACATTTGTATCTTCAATGGTTTTGGATTTCCCTATACTACACCATTTTAAAAAATACGGATTACACAATCTATATAAATACCCTTTAAAGTTGAGACATTTTTATCCTACTTGTATTGGGCTGTAATAAATTTTATGGGAATTTTCTAAACAAAATAGATGTTTTATTGTTTTAATTTTACCTCCTCTTGTAATAGGTACCTAGATATTTCAATGGGTATTATTTTGCTTAATACCAATTATTGTATGATAATGTGTGGTACTACATTCAAATCCTTTACGCAATTCTGAGTATTTTTAGATCAAGCATCCATGTAGGGGACAGCAGTAAATTCATCGACACACTTTTACTCACTCATAAGTACATTCATGACCTCCGTAACCATCTCCTGGTGTTTCGGTAAAAAGAGAGAGAAGTCTTCATCGAGGGGTAGCTGCGACGCAATGGAAAATGTTGGCACCTTGCTCAAGTTCTTCAGTGGGATCTTCTCGGAAGCATTGTCACAGTAGCGGTTGTTGAGTTCTAAGCCGTTGTTCTTGTAACGTGCTGGCTAAAAGATGTGTGCTGCTTTAGAATTGATTACTGCTAGTGAGTGTGGCCGAAAATCAGTCTTGGTCTTTGGTCAATACCACCTATTGTAGGCTGAGACCAAGACCGACTCTGCAAGATTTGGACAAGAACAAGGCTGTGTCTGCAAGATTCTTGCGGTCTCGCATTTTCTGTGAATTGGGCTCTCTTTTACGCATTTTTTGCCAAAATTATCACTTACCAAGATTGTCATAAAACTACAAATTCAAACACGGCCTTATTTATTAAAACAAGCGTGATTGCGCTTATTTTAATAAATAAGGCCGTGTTTGAATAAATAAGGCCGTGTTTGAATAAAT